ATAAGCAATTTTTGACGTCAAGACTTCCTTTTTATAAATATGAATGCCATCTGAAAGTCCATTCTATCTATTTTAAAAGTTTGACATCTAACATAACTCGAACTATTAACTGAAAAGTTCTAATCACACTTAATGTAAAATCTTAAGTACAGCAGACGTATGATTGATATTTATTTAAGGTTAAATTTTATATAACGTATACCAAATGTATATAAAATAATAACTCACCTTTTGTTCGCATAGAATAAAAAAAATTATTTTTCTTTATTTTTAATATATTTTTTTATATTTTAATGTTTATTTAATTATTTTTTTTACACATATATATAATTTGTTGTTTTCTTTTAATATTTTGTTTTTGTGCTACATAAATTATTTTTATGAAAGACGTTCAATAATAATGATTTTGTTTTCTTAATTTTTGTTTGTTTTGTTAATAATATTAATTATTTTTGTTTATTTGTTTTTTGCTGATTGTTGTTCTATTTTTTTATTTTTTTGTTTTATTATAACTATTTCATTCATTGACTTTTGATATTAATTCGTTTATTTCCTGTTTTTCTTTCTTTAATTCTTGTTTTCATTAAATAAAGTGTATAAAATAACAATTTATGTGAAACCAGTTGAAAATAAAACTAAAAATCATAAAAATATATATTTTTTCGTTAATTATTTAAAAAAATACTTTTACCTAAAAGTGATATTCGTTTATGTAAAAATTTATAATAAATTCGTAAACTTCGATGTACAATGAAATAAGATTGTAATTTGAAATTAAATATTAATTCGTAATGGTTTATTGGCTTTGTTTGCTTTAAGTATTTGTTTTTATAATTTAATTGTTTATGTCTATAGTGTTGATTTTCCGGTTTGATTTAAATACTATTTTGTTGTTGTTTCTCTTAATTATTTCTATTATTTATTAACATATGAAGTTGATTTGTTTTTTGGCAAATTTGATTTTAAAATTGTGTTGATTTTTCATTTTTGTTGTTTTTTATGCTCCTCATGTGAATAGATCTAACAACTACAAACAACTTGGTAGTTTGTATTGAAAATGGTCAGAATTTGGTATAGTTTTAAAGTTAGAAAAATTAAACTGAACTAGAACTGAACTGAACTAGAAACTGAACTAGAACTGAACTAGAACTGAACTAGAACTGAACTAGAACTGAACTAGAACTGAACTAGAACTGAACTAGAACTGAACTAGAACTGAACTAGAACTGAACTAGAACTGAACTAGAACTGAACTAGAACTGAACTAGAACTGAACTAGAACTGAACTAGAACTGAACTAGAACTGAACTAGAACTGAACTAGAACTGAACTAGAACTGAACTAGAACTAGAACTGAACTAGAACTGAACTAGAACTGAACTAGAACTGAACTAGAACTGAACTAGAACTAACTGAACTAGAACTGAACTAGAACTGAACTAGAACTGAACTAGAACTGAACTAGAACTGAACTAGAACTGAACTAGAACTAGAACTGAACTAGAACTGAACTAGAACTAGAACTGAACTAGAACTGAACTAGAACTAGAACTGAACTAGAACTGAACTAGAACTGAACTAGAACTGAACTAGAACTGAACTAGAACTGAACTAGAACTGAACTAGAACTGAACTTGAACTTGAACTGAACTAGAACTGAACTAATCTGAAACTGAATTGAAAATTTTCTAAATTTTAGGAAATAAAAATTTAAATTATTTGGAACTCAAGAAAAAAATTTTGTTTAAACATAAACATAAACTTTTTTTTTATTTGGCAATTCGAACTTTTTTAAAACTTTATGAAAAGTTTTAAAAGTCCTTTAAAAAAATATGTATGTATGTGTTTGTTTTTGAATCCTTGGAAGAGCAGACTTAAGTTGTTTTAAAATGACCCTTTCATTTGAGTATTGATTACTAACTTTTGATTTAATTTCTAGTTCTTTTGCTATAGATTTTTTTCTTGTCATAAAAAGTTCATAAATTGGTTTTTTAGTTGTGTTATAAAATCAAAACTTATTATTTATTTGGCAATGGTTGGGGTTTTCTTTTTATTTAAATGTAATTTTGGCACATTGTTTCCGAAATATATATGTATAATTATCATTTTTTGATTTAAAAATTATAAAATATACAAAAATTTCAAAAAATCTTATATATAGAAAATTTTTATTCATTTTATATAATAGTTTTTAATATAATTTTATGTGTTTTTTTTCGGTCTAATTTAAAAAAGTAAACATTTAGTTGTTGTTTTTTTTTTAGTTTCGTTTAATGTTAAAGAAATTATTTTATAAATACTATTAGTTTTGATTTTTTTGTTTATAAATTTTTAAGTTTTGTAGTTTATTTGCTTAATAATTATTTTAATTATTTTTTGTATTTGTAATTCATTGTACATGGGTTTACATTTATATTAATTTCTGTTTTTGTTTATAAATTTATTTTTTTATAGTAAATCAATTAATCTAATTAGAAGAAAAATATATATATAGTGTTATTTTAATTCTTATTGTAGTTAGTTTTTGTTTTTTGCTTTTTTGTTATTTTTTGTTTTTTTAGTTGAGTTTTTTTAAAACTATTTAATTTCCTGATATTTACATTAAAAATTGTTTTTTTTTTTTTTTGTTTTTCTTTTTTTTATAATTTTGACAAAATTTCATACATTAAAAAAATTATACAAAACTTAATTCAAAATATTATCAGTCATTAGATTTTGAAAAATTTATTTTAATTACAAAATTTTTATGTTATACATAGATTTTTTATTTTACAAAAATTTACAATTATATGGAAAAATTTAAAATAAATTATTGTGAGTTTAATCTTGGAATTTAAATGTGTTAAGCTTTTTAAAATATTTAAACTGTTCAAAACTACTACCAATTTTTTTAAGTTTAAAAAATCATAAAAAGTATCGAAGTGTTTATGAGTCAAAAGTCAAAGGTTTTTATGAGTCAAATATCGATTTAAATAAAAAAGTCTTAAGCTTCCCTCTCCGATTTTGTTCCGATATATTTGAGCAATTTATTAATGAAAACCTGATTTGCTATTCAGAACAAAACCATGGAAAATGGGAGTTAAATTCCTCAAAAGAAGTCAAAAATATGTAAAACAGTTTCCTTAGCTTTGATTGCGTTTAATTTCCTAGTTCAAAAGATATCAAATTATTTCTAAAATAAATAACTACATAACGTATACTTAATATTTAATTAAGCTTTGAATTAAATATTACGTATACGTCACATATAGTAGTTTTACCTTTAAGAAACATTCGTATTTACAAATTCAAAACATTTAAAAACATTTCTTAACAATTATAATTTTCTTCATAGAAAATGGCCTTAAAAACAAACTAAATAATTCCTTTCAGATTAAATTCACATCAATATTATAATTGTCTACTTTTTACAATATTTTTATTGAAACAGAAGTCTTTTACAAATATTTTCTTTTTTTTTACATTAAAACAAATAAATCACATGTATAAATATTAAAATATAAACCTATTACATTCATAAATACATACAATTAGATTTTCTTTTTATACACTTTTTAAAAAATAAAAAAATAATTACAACCTGATTTGAAAAAATTGCCATATATTTTCTCATATATAGTTGTTGTTAGTATCATTTTTAATTTAATTTTTTTTTACTTATTTCATTGCAATAGTATAAAAGTATAGATATATATATATTTTTTAAAAATATTTATTTATGGTGATTAAAGGGTTTGGAAATAAGAGTTTCATTCAGGAAATGCATGCAATATTTTAATAATATATTTTTGTTGGTAGGAGAGGGGGAAGATTAATGTGTTAAGTGTGTGTGTGTATGATAAGTTTATTATTATTTTTTTTTAAGAATTTTGATTGATTGTCCGAAAGTTTATTTAATTTATTATTTTTTATTGTTTTGGTTCATAATCATCATCATCTACAATACTGAGATGTATAGACAGATTTAAGTGGGGGGAGTGGGTTGGAGTTAAATACTGTGATTTCTTATGTTTTTATATATAGGTATATAAGGAGGACATTTATAGGAAAGTTAAGGAGTTTTATATGCTTTTCGTCTTTCTTGTTTAAACATACATACAAATATGTACATATTTATGCATATATGCAGTATTTGGTTTAATAAATATTTAATAATTTCTTTTAAATATAAATAGTTTATTCACAAGGCTTTCAAAAAAAAAAAAAAAAAAAAATAAAAAAAATACAAACCTAAGTAACGAACTATATTTGTATACATAAATACATATATACACACATATATACACACATGAACCTATATTTTTAAAACGGCTATATAGATTTCATTATTGTAATAGTATTTATATGTAAATATGCATTAAAAGTATAAATTAGTTATATCCACCTAAACATACTTAATATGAATTCATACCCAGTAGGAGTTGTTAAAACTAATATGAAAAATTTCAAAATATTAGATCATCAAAGTTTTGACAGTATAATTTTTTATATCAATTTGAGCGATGACAACAGATAGTGTGACTTTTGAATACGGTTTTATCTTAGCTTAGTACCACTTAGGTATTGAATTTTGTACCAAAAATCCGTCATATGTATTTGAAAGTGTAAAGTTTTATATTTGTCTGTGCCGGATCTCATATAGCATTCACCATAGTGTGTTTTAAAAACAAGTAAGACTGCTACACCCTTCACCATAGTGTTAAATTCAAGATTTATTTCATAAATGTTTTCCCATCTATGTGACAAAGAAATAAATTCAACACAAATACTAAACGTTGTTGTTTTTGTTTCCAGCGGTTTACTGTTTATTATAAACAAGCAAATGCAACGTACACGATACTACGATGTAATTATTGAAGACAGAGATCCCAAAGGTATCTAAAGTGTTCAGAAAATCGATTTCAATACACACACAGACGGACAGACGGACAGACAGACAAACAAACAAACAGACAGACAGACAGACAGACAGACAGACAAACAGACAGACAGACAGACAGACAGACAGACAGACAGACAGACAGACAGACAGACAGACAGACGGACGTGGCTTAATCAACTCAAAAACGAAAATGGATTTTTATGTTTCACTCAAAAATCTAATTATAGTGGGAAATAAAAGTGAACACAGATCTTAATCCCTTTTACACTCAAAAATCGTTATTTGAGTGCAACAAAGTGTTGTCACAGATTTTGCTCTAAGGGCTATAGTTTAGGCTGAAAATGGACTTCTATGTTTTCACTCTAATTTCGCCAGAAAATGAACTTTTATTCTTTCATTAAAAAGTTTATCATTTGATCACGGATTTAATCCTGTTTTTTCCTAGGGCCTCTAATTTTGCCAGAGAATAGACTTGTATATACATACAAACTTAAAAATCAAATGATCACAGATTTTAATCCTCTATGTCATAGGACCACTAGATGTCCATTTTTGGCCATATTTGAAACGTTATAACAACGTATTCAAAGCTAGTGTTAGTGCAACTAATTGGCTAAAAAACTCTTAGAATATGCTAGGCTACATGTTGCATTATCTATCCGAAGAAATAGACCTAGGCCTCTATCGGGCTTGTTTTGTGTTCCTTTTCATGGAAAAAAAATTATTGTTTTTCAATGTTCAGAAACTCAGTTTTCTGGACGTAATTCCTACGAATTTTCCAATCAGTTTTAGTGAAGAATGTAATTTCCGGAATAACATCACTTCCAAGATACTTGGATCTTACTTCAACGAATGCCTGACAGCGGCAAAGAAAATGCTACAGAATTTCACTGTCCTTTCCAATATTGTATAGACGTGCTCCTGTGTGTCCACTCAGATTACGTACCATCATTCTAACCTCAGACTTGCTCATTTTGCTCTCATCAGGGTCACCCCATAGGATCTTTGTGATGCTACCCAGCATTTCATTATTCCAAGAGGCCTTATGGGATTCTCTTACTCATATTTACTTGCGTCAAATGGTTTGGCATTCGTCAGGTTAACTATCTCGAGCTCCCTTCCCTTTAAAGCTATTACGTTGGCCCTTTTGTTGTCGACTACTCCCGAGTGACCTGTTACCCATATGATGTAAACATTACTTTTGGAAGAGTATTCAGTTAAAACTTTCATACATTTAGATTGATTCTAATCCAATTTACACATTCCGTTGTTGCTTGGATTGGTCCATAAGTGATCCTAACATTATATAAGAAACTGAAAATCAAATACTTGTCTTTAAATAAAATGTCGTTCTGAGTGATATAGAATCAAACTTTGATAAGACTCTCCAGAACAGAAGACAGGTGAGAGCCACAATCCTCTTCTTTCGCTGTACTGTTTCATCATTAAATTCAGATAATTCAATGCATGTCTAATCATGCCAAACGACATCAATTTCACGATGACACGAATGATATGAAAAAATAGCTTTTAAGAAGAATATACGAGCAATATTTCAGAGTGTTGTATGCAACATAAAAACACCGTTGCAAGTCTCACTTTTTTGATGGGTACAACAGATCGTTTTAGTAGAACTAAAACAATAAAATTTTGAATTATAGGGAAGTATTTTCAAAGCTAAACCACTTATAATTTCCTACTGGGCAGAAATACTTATGAAAAAAACTGACACAAAACACATACACAAATACTTTTCATTTTCCTTACTTTCATATCGTTTAAACTAATTAAACTAATTAAACAATATGAACAAATTTTCATCAACACCGAGCTTGTTTGACTTAGAAAAGACCACAAATAAAAAGTGTTTAATGGAAGTAAATATTTGTACAACTATGAATAATAGTTAGCTAAACGCTGTAGTTAGTTGCAGTCTAATTAATATTAAATGTTTTTCTTACTAGATTCCATCTTAATTTCAATTAATTATTGTTTTCTGTATATCGAGGAAGTCGTTTCTTTAATTAAATTGTAATTTTTAACAACAACAATAACTAAGTAAAAGGATTACTAATATTTATCTCACACCGATATGGAATAATCGGATTTTTCAGTTAAAAGTTTTTGTGTGGGTGCTGGTGAATGTTGTCGTGATTGCTGTTGTTGTTGTTGTTTTTGTGTTGCTGTTGTTGCGGATGAGGGCGATGGTGATGTTGATGATTGTTGCTGTTGGTTTTTATGTACAACTTGTTGTTGTTGTTGTTGCTGTGGTTGCAATTGCTGCTGTTGTTGTTGCTGTTGCAGTTGCTGTAATTGTGGCTGAGATATGGGACGATTCTCTTGCGGTCTTTGCTGTTGCTGCTGTTGTTGACGTAACAAATGTGAAGTTGTTGAGGCCGGACGTGACCAGAGTGTTGATCTTAGACCTAATTTCAATTTTTTCAACGTCTCCACATCACATTCAACCTGTGCAACTTGTTCAGCACGTTCCGCAGGCATCGCTACATCAACGGGTATTTGATGAAATCCACTATTGGAAATTACATTGCATTCAGCTTGTAGCTGCAATGGATGCAGGGTGCGTATAGCACCTCCAGGCCTAATTATATATAGATTGGACAAGTATTTGGGTAGTACATACTTAGTATATGACAAAAAAAAAATAATTTTTTTTCTGTTTGTTTTGCAATTTTCATTGTTTAAGTTTTATTTAAGTAGAGAGAAGTTGAACACTACATAAGTAATATTAAAGAGTATAGAGTACAACAATATGAAAATATACAATCATAAATATATGACGTCTAAATATGACGTAACTAAATGTAGTAAGAGTACGTATAGGTTTTAACTTTTTGTTTATACACAATGAAAGTATTTGTGTTGCTGTTGTTGATTGAAGTCAATGCTGTTGTTGGCTAAGAATAATGATAAAAATTTTAATAGAAAAAAACAAAGAAGAAGCATTGAAGCAGTTGATGATTTAAAACCAAAATTACAACAATAACTGATGAATAGAGTTGAACCAAAAGAAAAGCGTGTTTTGAATTGAATTTAAGCTAAAAAAATATTCACAATTTATTATTGATAATATTAAATTGAGAAAATTATTTAACTTTAAATGTTGATTTGTAAATAAGATTCAGAAAGTATTATGAAAAGCTTTTTTTATAACCTCTATATAAACAAATTCTCTTAAATCTTATAAAACCTTTATATAATTTGCCGCTAAAGCTTCTAGATCATTATCAGATTTAAGTAAATAAAAAGTGTCAGAACTGTAACTGGTCACTACCTCAAGAAACGTTTACTGAATCTGTTTATATGACGAATTTCGAAATACATTAAGGTGTTTCGTGGACCACTTTTTTGTAGAAATACCTCTTAAACGATGCGTGTTAATGTTCTATATATGAGAAATTTGATTTCTTTTCAAAGGGCCTCCCTACCAGCGATGGAATATTCTGATTTTAGTATAATAAATAAAATTGTAATTTTTCCGAAATGGGTCTCAAAAATTCCGTAATTTTGAGCTTATCGCGAGAAAAATTATCAAAAACTTTTTACAGCATCTCTGGTCTACAAAACATATAAGCTCCAAAATAATAATTCCAATCGGTAGGGAACTGGAGCCCAATATATGGGTTTTATCGTTGCATGTGTCAACGATCAAATTTTCAGATTTGACAACCCACGCTTCACTGTTGAGATACCTTTGCAGACACAGCGATATTTGAGAGTTGTGACATCACTTTTTTTTAAATTCTACTGGAAATAGCATTAAGCTCAGAAAGCTATACAGAGTCCTTCTTACGGACATTTTGAAAGCTGCAATAAAAGATATAAACTTTGGTAGCAAGAGTTCGCATCACGTTCGCGAATTGTGTATCTATTGCCATCGAAATGTCAAATTGGAGATGCTATAAGAATAATCCACATTTTTAAGCAAATACTTATCACCCGAGTGATTCGTTTAACAGAACCAGCCAAATGAAACTTAGATGAAAACACACAATGTTCCCACTTAGTCAATATTAATTCAGTCTCTCTTATTAGGAGGTCGATCAAACTTGTAAGACGAATATCAAAACTCGATGCAATGGGAGTCTAATAACAAATAATAACCTGACTATCCCAGAAAAAAACTAAGTAATGGCTTTACTTACATAACCACTTACTTTTCAATGACTACTACTTACCGTCTGTATTACTTTTAAGTACTATTACAATGACTTACATATAATCAGATACGTAAGTACTTTATTTGGAATTTTTCCGTTTTTTTATTTGCACATCTTATAGAATCGAGCCTTAAACCCCCTTCACACAAGCACTCAAGTAATATGATCAAGTGATATGATCTGTCAAAATTTAAAATATGTAACGAAATCATCATACATTGAGAAAAAATAATTTGGAAATGGAAAATTTGACAGTCGTATGGCTATCTTCATTTTTTCAAATGATTCAAAAAACAATCAAGTAGCATTAGATCAGGGATGTATTTTTATGTAAACACATACAAAAAAAATGAAACAGCTGTTTCCATCATACTTTGTTATTGTTTTATACCAATCGTTTAAACACAAAAAATATAAATCATACCACTTTCTCTTTCTCTTTTTTGTCATACGGATAGAATTTCATTTTAATTTTTCATTAGACATTTCGTACGTAAAGTGTGATCGTCTGAAGGGCCCTTTAGCAACTGTTCTTCACACACACACAGAAAGAAAATTGTTTTTCTGTGTTAAAACCATTATTTAGCGTCTTTTTTAGCTCTTTAACTCATTACTTTTCAATGTAAGTTTTTGCTGGGATGTTGATCAATATAACTCAATTGGTAATCCCTTCCAAGTCATAGCTCTCTCTCTCTTACTCAATAACAATCGAGGCTCTCTTTACAAAAATTCAACTATAGCAAAAATGTTAGATTTAGAATATCAGATTAGCAGTAACTAGAAGATCACATAAAATATAAGCTATCGCACCATATGATCAGTGCAAACTTTAGCAAAAAGATCGAACTTAGTTGAAAGTCATATAATGTTGTACATCCTCTCTAAATCAATATTCATTTTGATTTTTTTTGCAGAAACTTAATATACGGGGACTTGGTAATGGAATGATTATCGATACTCCGACATCATCATAATTAAATAAGTTCCAAAGGACTCTAACAAATAGTTTATGATCGACGCACTATTGATTAAAAATAAAGAATTTCTCGAGCTCCATAAAATGTATTCTATTCCAATAATGGACATAATTTTTTACATAATTTACATGTTACAAAATATACATACATATTTACATAACAATTAAAAAAAAACATTCTCAGAAAAACATCTTCTGAACCTTATTTACAAAAAACTACATTTATGTTTTTCAAAAAAAAAAAAAAAGTTCTGCGTAAAAACTTTCTTTCTAATATCTTACACTCTACCTACTGTGGTCTCACACTCCTAATCCTATGATTCATAATCGAATTTCTGATCGATGGGGTTCATGTAGGTACATGAAATCTCGCCGATATTATAGCCAAAACTATTGACTATGCCATCGCTATCGACCAGACTTCCATCCACACTGCCCCCAAGGGCCGTATCCTATTTGGGCAGTGTTGGTGCCGTAAAGAATTTTGACGATAGAGGTGCTGTGGATGGATTCAATAGAGTACCACCCGATAGACCTTCATCGGCCTTATGAGCTATGGGACGAAATTGTGATGATGGCTGCATGCATGCCAGGGAGGGGGCTACAGATGCAAGGGAGGAGTTAGTACAACTACTACTATCTAACAGTTCGGATGAGTGGTGGTCATTATTAAGGTTTGCGGTATTGTGCTGCTGGGAATGTGGGTGTGGTGCAATTTTGGGTGTAACAAGTAGGGGTTGTTGTGATAATTTACTACTATTGCTACTGGTAAAACTACTGGATGTATTAATGTTTGATTGTTGTTGTTGGTTGTGGAGTTTTTGTTGGTGTTGCTGCAATTGGTGTTGTTGCTGTTGTTGTGTTATGGAAGGTGACTTAACCAATGTGGGTATGTGACATTGTATGGAATCTTGTGATTTAAATGTACTCGATATGGATTTTAAATTACCGACACCACTGCGTGGCGAAAGTATCTTATTCGAATTGGAATTATTACTAGACGAGTTTTTGCTATTGTTATGATGTCGCGGTGTTGTGTTGGTGGAAAACTGATATAATTGATGATGATACCTTGAACGACCGCGACGTGGCAATGATTTTTGTTCGGACATTGGTGATAGATCAGAGGATGTGCTTGATTGTGCTCCATGGTAGATGATACCTGCGGGGAAATGGGGAAAAAAGAAAAATATAAATAACAACAAAATTGGTAGATCTTTTTTGTTTTTTTTTGAGTTTAAGGAAGGATCAATACAATATACAAGTGAATAAAATGAAATGAAAGTTTTTAATACAAAAAGCATCACAATATATTTATGTATAAGAAAAATAATATTTTGTTTTTAAGGATGTGTTAATGTTAATATTATAAAATTTTGAATTTTATTTTGTAGTTATAGCTTAGAAATAGAGAGAGAGTGTTGTTGTGTTTGTTTTTTTACTTAGTCTTATAGTTGTATTAGAAATTTTTTTTAAATTTTTGTTTTGTTTGTATAATAGATAGTTATAAATATTTAATACTACAGATAAGTTATTGATATATTGTGATTTTGAAAATGTGGTGTTAATCTTGAGTCTGTGAAAGAATTTAAAGTTTTGTTGTTTGTTAAAAGATAGCAAATATACAGATAAGCAGTAGTTTAGAAATACTTAGAGATAACCTAATACTCCTATATAATTTTTAAATATTGTCAAGATTATAGACTGATCGTCAGTTAAGTCTGATCTATTGTTAAGAATTTACACATACATATTGAATACTATTGACTATTTCACAGTCAAGAAACTGGACTGATCTAAATTAAAATCTGATCTATAATCAAGACTCTTGTATACTCAAGACTGATCTATTTATAGTCAAAACTATAGGCTGATCTACAGTCAAGTCTATAGGCTGATATATAGTCGAGACTGTAAACGGATCTAAAGTCAAAAGTATATGCTGCTCTATATTCATGACTATAGATTGATCCATATTCAAGTCTTTAGACTGATCTATAGTCAAGACTAAAGACTGTTCTCTAGTCAATACTATATACTGATCGAGAGTCAAGACTAAAGACTGATCTATAGTCAAAACCATAGACTAATCTATAGCCAAGACAATAGACTGATCTATACACTAGACTATAGACTGATCTACACACTGATCTATAGACAAGACTATAGACTGATCTACAGACAAGACTATATACTGATCTAAAATCAAGACTTTAGACTGATTTATAGTCAAGACTATAGACTGATCTACACACTGATCTATAGACAAGACTATAGACTGATCTACACACTGATCTATAGACAAGACTATAGTGATCTGCATAGTCAAAACTATAGTGAAGACTATAGACTGATCTATAGTCAGGACTATAGACAGATCTATAGTCAAGACTATAGACTGATCTATTGTCAAGACTATAGACTGATCTATTGTCAAAACTATAGACTGATCTATAGTCAAGACTATAGACTGATCTATAGTCAAGACTATAGACTGATCTATAGTCAAGAGTTTAGATTGATCTATAGTAAAAACTATAGATTGATCTATAGCAAAGACTATACTCACGACTATCGGCTGATCTAGAGTCGAGACTACAGACTGATCTATAGTCAGGACTATACACTGATTTATAGTCAAGACTATAGACTGATCTATAGTCAAGACTATAGACTGATCTATAGTCAAGACTATGGACTGATCTATAGTCAAGATTATAGACTGATGTATAGTCAAGACTATAGACTGATATATAGTCAACACTATAGATTGATATCTATAGTGTTGACTATATATAGACTGATCTATAGGCAAGACTATAGACTGATCTATAGTCAAGACTATAGACTCATCTATAGTCGAGACTATAGACTGATCTATAGGCAAGACTATAGACTGATCTATTGTCAAGACTATAGACTGATATATAGTCAACACTATAGATTTATATCTATAGTGTTGACTATATATAGACTGATCTATAGGCAAGACTATAGACTGATCTATAGTCGAGACTACAGACTGATCTATAGTCAGGACTATACACTGATTTATAGTCAAGACTGTAGACTGATCTATAGTCAAGACTATAGACTGATCTATAGTCAAGACTATGGACTGATCTATAGTCAAGATTATAGACTGATGTATAGTCAAGACTATAGACTGATATATAGTCAACACTATAGATTGATATCTATAGTGTTGACAATATATAGACTGATCTATAGTCAAGACTATAGACTCATCTATAGTCGAGACTATAGACTGATCTATAGGCAAGTCTATAGACTGATCTATTGTCAAGACTATAGACTGATATATAGTCAACACTATAGATTGATATATAGTCAACACTATAGATTGATATCTATAGTGTTGACTATATATAGACTGATCTATAGGCAAGACTATAGACTGATCTATAGTCAAGACTATAGACTGATCTATAGTCAAGGCTATAGACTGATCTGTAGTCAAGACTATAGACTGATCTGTAGTCAAGACTTTAGACTTATCTATAGTCAATACTATAAACTGATCTATAGTCAATACTATAGACTGATCAATAATCAAGACTATAGACTGATCTATAGTCAGGACCATAGACTGATCTATTATCAAGACTATAGACTGATCTATTGTCAAGACTATAGACTTATCTATAGTCAAGACTATAGACTGACTATAATCAGGATAAGTCATTGCTATAGTCAGATCCATAGAGAGATAAATATCTAAATCTTGTAATATTAAAAATATATGTAAATAACCCCAAATAACATATAGAAAACCGATCGCAATAAAATATCAACGAAATATTTTTCTAAACTAACTTAAAAAAACTTACTGTGCTTCATTTTCCCTTCGTGTTGATTGGATGACTCTGTACGACTTGAAGTCAATTGATCCTGATCCGATTCTGATTCTTCACTTTCTGGCTCGGTTTTGCGGGAATGACGACGTCGATTTTTAGAAGACTATATTAAAGACGAATGCACAAAAAAGCAAAGAAATAAAATCAATAACTGTAACTACATTTATGATGTTGGAAAAAAAACTATGAGGATTTATGGGATTAATGCTACAAAAGCGTTTAAGCATTCTACTCTACTTAGAAATGGTTGTACAATATGAAGTTATTTTGTTCAGAGAGAACTTAAAATTAAAATAATTGAAATGTTCGAAAAAAATAAAAATAGAGGAGAGTTAAAAGTTTATAATATCAAGCGTTCATTTAGCTTATTTTTTTGTACACAATTTATACAAGTTTTTTATAAAAAAAAATATAAAAATGAAATATAAAAACCAATAAATTACAAATAATTTACAATTCAAAAAGAAGGCAAGTCTTTAGTAAAGAGAAAAATCCCACAGTTTACCGTCATACAAATACTAAAACAAAAACAATAAAATACATTAAAATAAGAGATTTATAAGGAAACTAAAAAATTAAACACATTTAAAAGTTTTGTATTTAGTTTAATATACTAAAAAATACTGCAATTGTGGCCATCTGACTGGCTGGTGTGTGTGGTGGTTGGTTTGCTGGTTGGTGGCTGTGCGCTTCTTTACTTCTGCTGATTGTTTTCAAAAACTAACTAAGAGCTGCCACAACAATGCTTTTGTTTTATTTAATTTTTATTTAAAAACAACAATTGTTTTACAACTAAAACTGTTAGACCAACCAGAAACGAAAAAAATAAAAAAAAAATAAAACATTTAAAACAATAGAAATCAAGATAAAATTATAAAAAAAAGAACTGAAAATAAAAATAAAATTATGTATTAAATAAACGCACGATATTATGAAACGGTGAGGTTTGATAATGATTATGAATAGTCTTAGTTGGACGTTGATTTTGGTTGTGGTGGTAGTGATGATGGGTAGATTTTAATACCGCAGCAGGTGGTGTCGATGAGCAACCCTCCGTTAAAGCACGTTCATGATACATAAATGAATGCAGCAGTGTATTGGCTGGACCAGCATGATGTGGTTGAGACATATTTCCACTTTCTGATAGTTGAAACGTAGCATATGGTGAAATATCCTCTGAGGTTTCTGCAAAAATTCACAGACGTAAGCACGAATAGAGAAATATAAAGAAAGAAAACCAAAGACATCATTTATATTAATTAATTGGACTATAATATGAATTGTATGTATTGTACGTGTTAACCCATTAATTGTCAACAACAATAATGGAAGAGACAAAAGCTTTTACTTGTTTAAGAAATATTTTAAATGTTTAATTTATAACCTAGTGACTTACAAATAACAAATTGGGCTGTTAGAATATTGTTTATTAAATCAATATTTTCAAGAAACCTTTTCACATGACATGCCCTACAACTGTCAGAAACGATTAAACAATACAACTCATTTTAATAGTTAAATCTAAAGAATAGCAGTGATGGGGAATATACATACATATATACGTGACATTCGGATTGTGTGTAAGGATCTAACAGTTATCTTTTTTATTTCATTTATCAAAGGAGTGTTGCTGACAAGCTAGACTATAGACTAGACTATAAATTACACTATTGACTAGACTTTAAACTAGACTATATACTGTAGAGCAGAATATAGACTGGACTATAGACTCGACTGTAGACTAGACTGTAAACTAGACTATAGACTAGACTATAGACTACACTATAGACTGCACTATAGACTAGACTATAGACTAGGCAATAGACTAGACTATAGACCAGACTATAGACTAAACTATAGCCTAGAACATACTAGACTAGACTATAGACTATAGACTAGACTATAGACTAGACTATAGACTAGAACTATAGACTAGACTATAGACTAGACTATAGACTAGACTATAGACTAGACTATAGACTAGACGATAGACTAGACTAGACTAACTAGACTAGACTATAGACTAGACTATAGACTAGACTATAGACTAGACTATAGACTAGACTATAGACTAGACTATAGACTAGACTATAGACTAGACTATAGACTAGACTATAGACTAGACTATAGACTAGACTATAGACTAGACTATAGACTAGACTATAGACTAGACTATAGACTAGACTATAGACTAGACTATAGACTAGACTATAGACTAGACTATAGACTAGACTATAGACTAGACTATAGACTAGACTATAGACTAGACTATAGACTAGACTATAGACTAGACTATAGACTAGACTATAGACTAGACTATAGACTAGACTATAGACTAGACTATAGACTAGACTATAGACTAGACTATAACGACTATAGACTAGACTATAGACTAGACTATAGACTAGACTATAGACTAGACTATAGACTAGACTATAGACTAGACTATAGACTAGACTATAGACTAGACTATAGACTAGACTATAGACTAGACTATAGACTAGACTATAGACTAGACTATAGACTAGACTATAGACTAGACTATAGACTAGACTATAGACTAGACTATAGACTAGACTATAGACTAGACTATAGACTAGACTATAGACTAGACTATAGACTAAGACTATAGACTAGACTATAGACTAACTATAGACTAGACTAGACTAGACTATAGACTAGACTATAGACTAGACTATAGACTAGACATAGACTAGACTATAGACTAGACTATAGACTAGACTATAGACTAGACTAGACTAGACTATAGACTAGACTATAGACTAGACTATAGACTAGACTATAGACTAGACTATAGACTAAGACTATAGACTAGACTATAGACTAGACTATAGACTAGACTATAGACTAGACTATAGACTAGACTATAGACTAGACTATAGAACTAGACTATAGACTAAGACTATAGACTAGACTATAGACTAGACTATAGACTAGACTATAGACTAGACTATAGACTAGACTATAGACTAGACTAGACTATAGACTAGAGTATAGACTAGACTATAGACTAGACTATAGACTAGACTATAGACTAGACTATTGACTAGCCTATTGCTAGACCATAGACTACCATAGACTAGACCATAGACTAGACCATAGACTAGACCATAGACTAGACCATAGACTAGACTAGACTATAGACTAGACTACAGACTAAACTGTAGACTAGACTAGACTAGACTTGACTAGAATAGACTAGAATAGACTAGAATAGACTAGAATAGACTAGAATAGACTAGAATAGACTAGAATAGACTAGAATAGACTAGACTAGACGAGACTAGACTATATATTAGACTATATTGAGCGCATTCCATGGTTATTTTTGTTATGTGTATGTGGTACAAGGGTTAACACAAATTGTATATGTTAGCAACGTAAGTAATACCTGGTATTTTATCATTATTTTGTAATGAAACTTTGTGAATGGTGGCATAGTAACGTTCACGTTGTGCCGCTTCTGAATTTTGACGATTTTCCAAAGATTCCTTTTGTATGCGTCCAGCTTGTTCTAGAAAGAGATTAAGAGATACATATTATTATACTTAAAACCTACTATACTAAAAGTTTACATAAAAATTAAAAAAAAAAAATAATGTTTAAAAAATATAAACGGTTATTTAATCAAATATGTATAGATACAGATACCAACGGGTTCCAAATGGTGATGCCTGAACTATCAGGATTCTTGAATACCAATCTCTGCATTACAATAGTTCCAAAAAAGTAATGAACAATTTTCGAAAAATTATCCACGAGATTATAGAAATTTCTGAAGTTGTTCGTGAAATAAACATTTTTAGAACTCTTATATAAGGTACAATAGTAGTACAGCATGGAAAGATAATAGCTAAAGTAATTACATAATTGATTTGATTTTGTATCAAATTTATTTGCATTATCAAGTAATTCAAATGAAATTTCATAAGGACATTCTGCAAGATACAATTGTTAACTCTTCGAAAATTCTACTTATCTTAACAAAGAAAAATTTTAAATTTTCCCGAGAGAAAAAATTCCTTTAAATCACTGTCCGTATTTAAGTACATATTTATGTTTTTAAGCAAAACAAACTAACAAGAGCATTCATTGTAATTTATTGTATAATTTATTTTCAATTTGTTTTCGCTGAACAATTATGCATGTTCGTTGGCATTGTTCTATTCTCTGTCTTGTTCTGCTACAGAGTTTTCTGTTCAATCCTGTTCAGTTTTCCACTTATTCAGTCATTTACTCAGTCAGTCAGTCTGTTCAGTTCAGATCTGTGTTGTTTTGTTTTTGTTCACCATACTTGAACACGAACAGGACACAAGCCAGTGCACAATATGCCCGAGGTATTTATTGTTTTAGTTTCAGCAAATAAAAAAAAAAACACTGAAAACTTTGTTGTTTGCCTATTTTAGTTATTATTATTGTTGTTGATTTTTTTTTAAATACTTACTGTGTCTGTAGCACATAAAAACCAATGCAATTGTACAAATCATTCCCGATACGGTGGCAATGCTGGGTATTAATAGGTTAACATTTCCATAAAATACATTCGATCCACGCTGTCCGCGTTGAACAATCTCTGGCGGCGGGGGATCACCCTCTTTGGTGAGTGTTACAAAAGTAAATTCAGCCTGTGACACACCAGCCACATTGTGTGCCTCCATGCGCAATTGATAGAGTGTGGATGGCTGTAGACCAGATATTGTAAAACGTCGTTGTGGTTTAAGGGCATTTGACACTATAAAACAGAAGACGAACAGAAATGCACATTTATATAGAAAAAAAACATATAATAGCATGAAAATAAATAAAACTCAGGAATGTTGCATGTACGAATGACTGAACGTAAAACATAGAAAGGGCATGTTGTCGCTTGAATTATGACCAATTAACATTTTCAGAATGTTTAATGACCATAATTCCACGCGTAAAGATATGCTCCAATACAATTGGAAATTTTAAATTACTGATGTAAAGTGCTAGTGCCAGATCAGAGGGCATTCGAAAGCGATCGAAACCTCCATGGAATAAAAAAAATTTATAAGAAATTTGGATTGCTTTTGAGTCCCAGAATTTGACCCCGGTTCTAGTTCAGTTCTAGTTCTAGTACAGTTCAAGTTCAGTTCTAGTTCAGTTCTAGTTCAGTTCTAGTTCAGTTTCTAGTTCAGTTCTAGTTCAGTTCTAGTTCAGTTCTAGTTCAGTTCTATTCAGTTTCTAGTTCAGTTCTAGTTCGTTCTAGTTCAGTTCTAGTTCAGTTCTAGTTCAGTCTAGTTCAGTCTAGTTCAGTTCTAGTTCAGTTCTAGTTTAGTTCTAGTTCAGTTCTAGTTTCAGTTCTAGTTCAGTTCTAGTTCAGTTCTAGTTCAGTTCTAGTTCAGTTCTAGTTCAGTTCTAGTCAGTTCTAGTTCAGTTCTAGTTCAGTTCTAGTTCAGTTCTAGTTCAGTTCTAGTTTCAGTTCTAGTTCAGTTCTAGTTCAGTTCTAGTTCAGTTCTAGTTCAGTTCTAGTTCAGTTCTAGTTCAGTTCTAGTTCAGTTCTAGTTCAGTTCTAGATCTAGTTCAGTTCTAGTTCAGTTCTAGTTCAGTTCTAGTTCAGTTCTAGTTCAGTTCTAGTTCAGTTCTAGTTCAGTTCTAGTTCAGTTCTAGTTCAGTTCTAGTTCAGTTCTAGTCAGTTCTAGTTCATTCTAGTTCAGTTCTAGTTCAGTTCTAGTTCAGTTCTAGTTCAGTTCTAGTTCAGTTCTAGTTCAGTTCTAGTTCAGTTCTAGTTCAGTTCTAGTTCAGTTCTAGTTCAGTTCTAGTTCAGTTCTAGTTCAGTTCTAGTTCAGTTTCGTTCAGTTCTAGTTCAGTTCTAGTTCAGTTCTAGTTCAGTTCTAGTTCAGTTCTAGTTCAGTTCTAGTTCAGTTCTAGTTCAGTTCTAGTTCAGTTCTAGTTCAGTTCTAGTTCAGTTCTAGTTCAGTTCTAGTTCAGTTCTAGTTCAGTTCTAGTTCAGTTCTAGTTCAGTTCTAGTTCAGTTCTAGTTCAGTTCTAGTCAGTTCTAGTTCAGTTCTAGTTCAGTTCTAGTTCAGTTCTAGTTCAGTTCTAGTCAGTTCTAGTTCAATTCTAGTTCAGTTCTAGTTCAGTTCTAGTTCAGTTCTAGTTCAGTTCTAGTTCAGTTCTAGTTCAGTTCTAGTTCAGTTCTAGTTCAGTTCTAGTTCAGTTCTAGTTCAGTTCTAGTTCAGTTCTAGTTCAGTTCTAGTTCAGTTCTAGTTCAGTTCTAGTTCAGTTCTAGTTCAGTTCTAGTTCAGTTCTAGTTCAGTTCTAGTTCAGTTCTAGTTCAGTTCTAGTTCAGTTCTAGTTCAGTTCTAGTTCAGTTCTAGTTCAGTTCTAGTTCAGTTCTAGTTCAGTTCTAGTTCAGTTCTAGTTCAGTTCTAGTTCAGTTCTAGTTCAGTTCTAGTTCAGTTCTAGTTCAGTTCTAGTTCAGTTCTAGTTCAGTTCTAGTTCAGTTCTAGTAGTTCTAGTTCAGCTCTAGTTCAGTTCTAATTGAAATAGCTTTAATCATTATTTAAAGTTACTCATTACTTACCCAACACCCAATCATGTTCTGGTCCATCGGTAACCGATCGATATTGTAAAACAAAATATAACATAGGACAGCCATTATCTGGCCACGTGTGCAGTCTTATCGTTACCGAAGTCGAATTAGGAGCAATTAATGTTGTAGTCGAAGGCACACCAGGCGATTGTCCCTGAGTTCTAACATGCAGTGTTATGCTGGTCGGTGATGTACCGACTTTATTATGAGCTGTTAAATGTATTTGATAGGTACTGCCACAAACTAAACCTTTTAGTTCATGACTAGAAGCATGACGTGATAAAAGCATTTCCTCAATATTACCACTCGCGCGTCGATAGTATAAAGTGTAGCCTGTTATTGGCGCATTGCCGGTGAAGCCACATTTCCAGTGCATTAAAATGCTGCTTGTAGTGGCACTGGTCACATAAAGAACAGGTGCAGAAGGAGGCACTTGTACGAGGAGAATATGTGTAAGGCGATCGGTGCCAATACCATTGTCCACTTGACAACTGTAGTTGCCGCTATCGGAGACCTGAAGACTGGAAATAATTAAATCTCCTGAATCTAGTAGTTGGGTATTGTGGAGACCTCCTTGTCTAATGGGGACATCAGCTTTAAACCATTCACGTTTTGGTTTGCCAACTGCCGTGCAAGATAATGTTACTGTTGAACGCCAAGGTCTTACGGTGGGTCCACCAAATGAAACTATACGCGCTGGTACACGATTAGTCGTTATTTGAGAAGCTACCCTGGAACTTTTACCCTCTCCCACTCGTGTGGAGGCGGTTACCCAATATTGATATTCTATGTGAGGATGTAAATTCTTGGCCTCATAATACGCCTGTTGCGAAGGCAAACTTCTCTTTTCATTATTCAACTCTTCACGACCATTAACCACTCTAGTGTATAGATTGTATTTGGTAATGACTCCATTTGGTTCGGTGGGTGGTAGCCAAGAAACATATAAAGATTGTGGTGAACTTACTACCACTTTTATATCGGCGGGTGCTTCTGGTGCGTCTTCTTCGGTATGGCAGTAAACGGGATTTGAAAGAACACCATCGCCCATGCGGGTATGGGCTAATACTTGTATACTATAGTTGGCATATTTTCGTAGGCCTGTGAGGACTGTGGTCAAGGCAGTTGTTTTACGTGATTCTACTTCATCTTTGTTGGGTGAATAATCATCAAGAATAGGTTCAAAAATTAACTTGTAGCCTTGTAAAATGCCATTTGTATGGTGAATAGGTGGAGGCTGCCAAGAAACTTGTAAAGACTGTGAGGTTAAAGCAGCGCAACGTATATCTTCAGGAGATCTACTAGGAACTGAGTAAAAAAAAAACAACAATTAACGTTACTATTACGTTTAAACAAGTTTTCTTAAATTACCATCCTCCATAGTTTGTGCAGAAGCAGGCTCTGACAGAGGTCCCGGACCAACTTGATTAAAAGCCTGCACCACTACATTATAACGAGCGAATCGTTGCAGGCCCGTTAACAACAATTCACCACTGCCACCTTCGCCATCACCCGACACTGATGTAAAATTATAGGCCGTATTACCAGTACTAGCCAATTTATAGCCCACATTGTAGCCCTGAATATCACCATGTCTTAGTTCGGCCAGCGGTGCCACCCAACTAACTAACAGTTCCGTGGAAGACAAAGGACGTACGGAGAGATTTAAAGGTGGACCGGCAGGTCGCTGAGGTTCTGTACGTATAACCAATTCCTGACTAGGAGCACTACGTCCCGCTGTTCCCTCAGCTATAACACGAAATGCATAACGTGTAGCGGGTTTAAGGTTCTCTATAAGAGCATTATAACTGGGAGGATCCTTAACCTCCATGTGCTGCCATTGGTCTATAAAGGAAGTAGCTAGAAAAGAACATTTATTACAACCCACTCAATTCTTTTCACCAGAAATTATTTATAAAATTACCATCCATTTCCTTGTACTCCACTATATACTTAGATACATCTCCTGAATTTTGAGTTTTTGGCTGCCACTTTAAATTCACCGAACGACTTGATATCATTGCTGCTTCTAACACAGACGGCGGCTGCGGGGGCTCTTGTACTTGCAACTGCACCAATTGCTGATCATTGCCATACAAATTGCTGGCACGACAAAAATATGGACCACTATCTGTGGAATCAACTAAACGTATTTGTAACTCTGCTGATACACCATCGGGTGTTGCTTCTTGCTTGACTGAAATTCTAGTACAGCATCCCAAAGACATCAAGTATAAGAGGGGCAATGTAATAGTTGTCATTAAAAAAAAACAGAAAGAAAATATACAATTAATGAACATTCTATAAATTATCTGAAGGTGTGTATACTGTGTGACAAAAAAATTAACATTGAATTGGAACTGATCTGGAAATGAAATACAACTGAACTTGAACTGAACTAAAACTGAACTAGAACTGAACTGGAACTAGAACTGAACTAGAACTGAACTAGAACTGAACTAGAACTGAACTAGAACTGAACTAGAACTGAACTAGAACTGAACTAGAACTGAACTAGAACTGAACTAGAACTGAACTAGAACTGAACTAGAACTGAACTAGAACTGAACTAGAACTGAACTAGAACTGAACTAGAACTGAACTAGAACTGAACTAGAACTGAACTAGAACGAACTAGAACTGAACTAGAACTGAACTAGAACTGAACTAGAACTGACTAGAACTGAACTAGAACTGAACTAGAACTGAACTAGAACTGAACTAGAACTGAACTAGAACTGAACTAGAAACTGAACTAGAACTGAACTAGAACTGACTAGAACTGAACTAGAACTGAACTAGAACTGAACTAGAACTTGAACTAGAACTGAACTAGAACTGACTAGAAACTGAACTAGAACTGAACAGAACTGAACTAGAATGAACTAGAACTGAACTAGAACTGAACTAGAACTGAACTAGAACTGAACTAGAACTAGAACTGAACTAGAACTGAACTAGAAACTGAACTAGAACTACTAGAACTAGAACTGAACTAGAGGAGTAACTGAACTAGAACTGAACTAGAACTGAACTAGAACTGAACTAGAACTGAACTAGAACTGAACTAGAACTGAACTAGAACTGAACTAGAACTGAACTGAACTAGAACTGAACTAGAACTGAACTAGGACTGAACTAGAATAGAACTAGAACTGAACTAGAACTGAACTAGAACTGAACTAGAACTGAACTAGAACTGAACTAGAACTGAACTAGAACTGAACTAGAACTGAACTAGAACTGAACTAGAACTGAACTAGAACTGAACTAGAACTGAACTAGAACTGAACTAGAACTGAACTAGAACTGAACTAGAACTGAACTAGAACTGAACTAGAACTGAACTAGAACTGAACTAGAACTGAACTAGAACTGAACTAGGACTGATCTAGAATAGAACTAGAACTGAACTAGAACTGAACTAGAACTGAACTAGAACTGAACTAGAACTGAACTAGAACTGAACTAGAACTAAACTAGAACTGAACTAGAACTGAACTAGAACTGAACTAGAACTGAACTAGAACTGAACTAGAACTGAACTAGAACTGAACTAGAACTGAACTAGAACTGAACTAGAACTGAACTAGAACTGAACTAGAACTGAACTAGAACTGAACTAGAACTGAACTAGAACTGAACTAGAACTGAACTAGAACTGAACTAGAACTGAACTAGAACTGAACTAGAACTGAACTAGAACTGAACTAGAACTGAACTAGAACTGAACTAGAACTGAACTAGAACTGAACTAGAACTGAACTAGAACTGAACTAGAACTGAACTAGAACTGAACTAGAACTGAACTAGAACTGAACTAGAACTGAACTAGAACTGAACTAGAACTGAACTAGAACTGAACTAGAACTGAACTAGAACTGAACTAGAACTGAACTAGAACTGAACTAGAACTGAACTAGAACTAGAACTGAACTAGAACTGAACTGAACTGAACTGAACTGAACTGAAACTAAGAACTAGAACTGAACTAGAACTGAACTAGAACTGAACTAGAACTGAAATGAACGAACTAGAACTGAACTAGAAACTGAACAGAACTGAACTAGAACTGAACTAGACTGACTAAGAACTAGAACTGAACTAGAACTGAACTAGAACTGAATAGAACTGAACTAGAACTGAACTAGAACTGAACTAGAACTGACTAGAACGAACTAGAACTGAACTAGAACTGAACTAGAACTGAACTAGAACTGAATAGAACTGAACTAGAACTGAACTAGAACTGAACTAGAAAATAGAACTATGAACTAGACAAGAAAACTAGAACTGAAACTAGAACTGAACTAGAATGAACTAGAACTGAACTAGAACTGAACTAGAACTGAACTAGAACTGAACTAGAACTGAACTAGAACTGAACTAGAACTGAACTAGAACTGAACTAGAACTGAACTAGAACTGAACTAGAACTGAACTAGAACTGAACTAGAACTGAACTAGAACTGAACTAGAACTGAACTAGAACTGAACTAGAACTGAACTAGAACTGAACTAGAACTGAACTAGAACTGAACTAGAACTGACTAGACTGAACTAGAACTTAACTTGAACTGAACTTGAACTGAACTAGAACTGAACTAGAACTGAACTAGAACTGAACTAGAACTGAACTAGAACTGAACTAGAACTGAACTAGAACTGAACTAGAACTGAACTAGAACTGAACTAGAACTGAACTAGAACTGAACTGGAACTGAACTAGAACTGAACTAGAACTCAGCTAGAACTGAACTAGAACTCAGCTAGAACTGAACTAGAACTGAACTAGAACTGAACTAGAATTGAACTAGAACTGAACTAGAACTGAACTATACTAGAACGGAACTGAACTAAACTACATCTGATTTGTCGTTAAGTGTATAATATTGTTTCTATCCTTTTTATGTATTTTAAGCTTTTTTGTGGAAATTTGTTCAAAACTCATTATTTAGCACAAAGTTACAAATTAACACAACTCGTCTACATACAAAAGTACCTACACCTCCAAAGGGACCTTGTTTAACATGAACAAAGTGTAATCAAGCAGTGTTTGTATATTTACCCAGTTTATTGCAAAAAAAATATATATTTGTAATTTTATTTTTTATTGTATTTCAATTTGTTACGTACTTGTAATTTGTCGATGGATTTAATGTATTTTTGCCCGAACGCATCCATACGATATTAATCGGTTTGTCACCGCTTACAGTGCATTGCAATATCGCTGTATCACCTTTTTTACCGTCACCGAACGTGATGTCGATTGGAAATAGGGCGATGCTGTATTTATTGTAGTCAATGTTTTTGTTTGTTACATTTTCATTTGCCAAATACAATATTGTTGGAGTTGTCGTTGTTTGGTGATGAAGTTGTTGTTGTTGTTGTTGGTGGTGGTGACAAAAAGAATGATGATGATGATGACGTTGGTGATGTCAAAAGTCAAAAACAATTTCAATGGTTTCAATTTTTTCCCATCCAATGTTCAGTCGAACGTTCAATGATAAAGTGAAATAAATAGGAGACAAAAAAGTGAACACACAAATACAAAAACAAATTCTTATAAATAAATGTTAAAAAATTAATTTTTTGTCATCTGAGTATAATACAATATGCGATACTGCACGAAATACTATAAAATATCCTGAACAAAAAGAGTTCGTATACCACCAACTTTAATACATTTTTAATATGTAATTCCTCAATGAAATGTAATCAGCATTTCATTAATTTGCAATAATTAAAAATGTATAACACTTACAGCAAAATAAATGAATGAAAATTGTACAGTGGTGACTTAATAAAATATAATGATGCTGATGAAGGCAAAAGCCATTATTTGTTAAAACACCCTGGGGAGAATGGTAACAAATGTGACAAAATATTTATTTGAAAAACTTAAATAAGATGGTAATTAGCTAAAAGGTAATATTAATTTGTAAAATAACATTTGCGTATAAATAATCGTTATTGTGGTAGGATATTAAGTACTTGGGTAATACGAATTATTCAACGATTAAATTCAAGTACATGTATGAACTGAAACTGAACTCGAACTGAAATAGAACTGAACTAGCACTGAACTAGAACTGAACTAGAACTGAACTAGAACTGAACTAGAACTGAACTAGAACTGAACTAGAACTGAACTAGAACTGAACTAGAACTGAACTAGAACTGAACTAGAACTGAACTAGAACTGAACTAGAACTGAACTAGAACTGAACTAGACTGAACTAGAACTGAACTAGAACTGAACTCGAACTGAACTAGAACTGACTAGAACTGAACTAGAACTGAACTAGAACTGAACTAGAACTGAACTAGAACTGAACTAGAACTGAACTAGAACTGAACTAGAACTAAACTAGAACTGAACTAGAACTGAACTAGAACTGAACTAGAACTGAACTAGAACTGAACTACGACTACCTAGACTGAACTAGAACTGAACTAGAACTGAAACTAGAACTGAACTAGAACTGAACTAAACTGAACTAGAACTGAACTAGAACTGAACTAGAACTGAACTAGAACTGAACTAGAACTGAAACTAGAACTGAACTAGAACTGAACTAGAACTGAACTAGAACTGAACTAGAACTGAACTAGAACTGAACTAGAAACAGAATGAACTAGAACTAGAACTGAACTAGAACTGAACTAGAACTGAACTAGAACTGAACTAGAACTGAACTAGAACTGAACTAGAACTGAACTAGAACTGAACTAGAACTGAACTAGAACTGAACTAGAACTGAACTAGAACTGAACTAGAAAAAAGAACTGAACTAGAACTGAACTAGAACTGAACTAGAACTGAACTAGAACTGAACTAGAATGAACTAGAACTGAACTAGAACTGAACTAGAACTGAACTAGAACTGAACTAGAACTGAACTAGAACTGAACTAGAACTGAACTAGAACTGAACTAGAACTGAACTAGAACTGAACTAGAACTGAACTAGAACTGAACTAGAACTGAACTAGAACTGAACTAGAACTGAACTAGAACTGAACTAGAACTGAACTAGAACTGAACTAGAACTGAACTAGAACTGAACTAGAAACTGAACTAGAACTGAACTAGAACTGAACTAGAACTGAACTAGAACTGAACTAGAACTGAACTAGAACTGAACTAGAACTGAACTAGAACTGAACTAGAACTGAACTAGAACTGAACTAGAACTGAACTAGAACTGAACTAGAACTGAACTAGAACTGAACTAGAACTGAACTAGAACTGAACTAGAACTGAACTAGAACTGAACTAGAACTGAACTAGAACTGAACTAGAAATGAACTAGAACTGAACTAGAACTGAACTAGAACTGAACTAGAACTGAACTAGAACTGAACTAGAACTGAACTAGAACTGAACTAGAACTGAACTAGAACTGAACTAGAACTGAACTAGAACTGAACTAGAACTGAACTAGAACTGAACTAGAACTGAACTAGAACTGAACTAGAACTGAACTAGAACTGAAACTAGAACTAGAACTGAACTAGAACTGAACTAGAACTGAACTAGAACTGAACTAGAATGAACTAGAACTGAACTAGAACTGAACTGAAGAACTGAACTAGAACTGAACTAGAACTGAACTTGGAACTGAACTAGAACTGAGCTAGAACTGAACTAGAACTGAACTAGAACTGAGCTAGAACTGAACTAGAAATGAACTAGTTCAGTGACTTAAATGTCGATAAAAATATAATCCTCCCAAAGAGTTGGGCCCATTATGCAATTTACAGCAAGACATTGTATTCGATTACAAAGTGCGTCACCATACATTTACTCAATTAAGGTGCATTAAACTTTACTTCTGTTTTTCACAGTTTACTTTATGTAATTGTACAACTGTACATTATTTGCATTGGAAAAAAGTCTGCGTCAAGACAAAATGAGTTTTAGAAGTCGTGGGTGTTTTCCTGGTCATGTTGATGAATAGGCAAAGAAGCTCAAAAAAGCTTGTAACAAAAATATACTTACAATTAACTTTCAGTTGAATCACTTTACCGATACCAGTACCAATGCCATTGTTGGCTTGACACAAATAAAAACCTTCACGATCCTCTTTGACATGCTGTAACAGCAGCGAACCATTCGATAGTAATTTTGTAAATGGTCTTTCACGCACCTCTTCATATTCACCTGATTTGCTGCCTGTAATTGAAAAGCGATTGTGTTAAAGTTAAAATAGATTTTGTAATTGTTAATTGTAGGTACATATGTACATATATAGAGATTATAAGGTCGGTAGTGCACCACAAAGTTTTGGTTAAAGTTTTGAAACAACTAGCAACTTATTTTTAATATTTACAGTGCTTTAGAAGAACATTTTTTATTTCCACCGACGATATGAAGGATTTTGGTTGCATAAATATGTATGTATATTTTAACTTATTTTCGCATGAATTTTAGTATAAATACATACATATGTATGTAAATGTATATTACTTCATGTGTATTTCAATTTGTATTTATCCATCTTTGAAAATGGCACACAATATGCAACAACAATAGAATTATGAAAACTAATTGCAAACACAACTACAACAATAATATTTGAATGAATTGCACAGCATATAGAGTGCAAATGACAGATGAAGATCTACAAAAAAGGTAATAATGAGAAATTGTCTTCCAAGGTAAACAACTAATGTTTGTGACAGAAGAATTATTCTGTTAATGATAAAATCTATACCATACATTCAGTTTATCATAATGGTTTTAAAGCAAAATTATAAAAACCATTTCAAGATATGAAATTTATATATTTTTAAATCATGAAGTATTGATAGAAATATTTTTTTATACAAAAGATTTTTCAAAAACTTCCTATTAAAAGAGATTTTTTCGGAATTTCTCCGGATTATCCAACTTCACGAAAAAGATTTGCGAAAACTTGAAATAACAATTTTGCAGAAAAAAGTGAAATTTTCCAAAAAATGTCTATATAAAAAAGAATTTTACGAGAGAAATAGAGCAATCTTCCGAACATTTTCTATAGAAAAGATAAATTTTACGAACATTTTCTATGGAAAAGAGAAATTTTACGAACATTTTCTATAGAAAAGAGAAATTTTCCGAACATTTTCTAATGAAAAGAGAAATTTTACGAACATTTTCTATAGAAAAGAGAAATTTTCCGAACATTTTCTATAAAAAAGAGAAATTTTCCGAACACTATCTATAAAAAAGAGAAACTTTCCGAACATTTTCTATAGAAAAGAGAAATTTTCCGAACATTTTCTATAGAAATAAGAAATTTTCCGAACATTTTCTATAGAAAAGAGAAATTTTCCGAACATTTTCTATAGAAAAGAGAAATTTTACGAACATTTTCTATAGAAAAGAGAAATTTTCCGAACATTTTTATAGAAAAGAGAATTTCTCCGAACATTTTCTATAAAAAAGAGAAATTTTCTATAAAAAAGAGAAATTTTCCGAACATTTTCTATAGAAAAGAGAAATTTTCCGAAAATTTTCTATAGAAAAGAGACATTTTCCAAAAATTTTCTATAAAAAGAGACATTTTTCTGAAAATTTTCTATAAAAAGAGAAATTTTTCTTAAAATTTTCTATAAAAAGATAAATTTTCCGAAAATTTTCTATAAAAAGATAAATTTTCCGAAAATTTTCTATAAAAAGATAAATTTTCCGAAAATTTTCTATAAAAAGATAAATTTTCCGAAAATTTTCTATAAAAAGATAAATTTTCCGAAAATTTTCTATAAAAAGATAATTTTCCGAAATTTTCTATAAAAAGATAAATTTTCCGAAAATTTTCTATAAAAAGATAAATTTAACGAAAATTTTCTAAAAAAAAGAGAAATTTTCCGAAATTTTTTTATAAAAAGTGGAATTTTCAGAAAATTTTCTATATAAAGAGACCTTTTCCGAAAATTGTATAAAAAAAGAGAAATTTTATGTAAAATATATACATTTTTAAATAAAAAAAAATAAATTTCTATTGAAGTAGAAAATTTTCGAAATTTTCTATAAGAAGTAAAGTTTTATAAAATTATTACGTAAGATTTTTTCTGATTTTTTTTTTTAATTTTCGCATGTCTTTACTTACCAGTCGCCTTTTTCCAAACAATACTGGGCGTGGGGACACCTTGTGCCTGACAGTGTAACATAATGTGACGATTGCGTTCAACACTGGCATCGCTGGGTTCCACAATCCAACGTGGTGGCACTAAATGTTTGTTAAACAAACAACAACAACAATAAGGAATATAACAAAAATTAACTCATTAATTAATTTTATGCATGAACAAAATTCTACGTTTAATTTTTCAACATAATTTTTCATATAAATTAGTTAGTTAATTAATTAGTTGTTAAATATTAAACCAAAAAAATATATAACATAAACAACATAACAAATTCAGAGATTCAATTTCACTTGAAAATTAAATATTAAAAGTTGCCAAAAGAGCGAAAGAGGAAAAGAGTAGAACTTTTTTTATATATTTTTTTGTTCATAATAATAATTTGTTTTTGTTTAAGTCTATAATTATTATTTACTATATAAATTTTATACATATAAACGAAAAAATATATATATTTACTGAAGTATTTAGTATATAAAAGTAAATGAGAAAATGGACTATGTACGTATGTTTTCTTTTATTTATTTATTTATTTTTTTTTTTTTAATAATAATAATAATTATGTTATGAAATTATGTTATATTATAGAAAAGGGGAAAAAAAGTTATGAAAGTTAATTGTATTGAGTTTTTCTCTTTATAGGAATAGGAAAAAATCTAATTAGTGAAATAATACAATTTAAGTAGAAAGTTGTAAATGAAATTATAACAAAACAAAAAAACATAATCAATTTTTATTTAATATTAGGTTTATGAGTTGGAAAAAGAATAAAAAAATAACACAAGTATTTTATGCAACATAAACAAAATTAATTAGCAAAATAATAGAGCATACATTTAAAGGAATGCATTCAAGTTTTAAAATTTGTTTGGTGGTTTTTTTATAATATATACAATAATTTTTCTATAAAAAGGAAATTTTTTTTCAAAAATTTTCTATAAAAAGGAGATTTTTTAGACAATTTTCTATAAAAAGGAAATTTTTCAGAAAATTTTCTATAAAAAGGAAATTTTTTCCGAAAATTGTTCATTTAAAAACATTTTATATAAAAATGAAATTTTTCCGAAAATTTTCTACAAAAGGGAAATTTTTCTGAAAATTATCTATAAAAAGTGCAATTTTCCTAAAATTTTCTATAAAAAGGAAATTTTTTCCGAAAATTGTTCATAAAAAGTGAAATTTTCTTAAAATTTTCTTTAAAAGGATATATTTTACGATAATTTTGTATAAAAAGAGAAATTTTCTATAAAAGAAAATGTTTTCATAAAAGGAAAATTTTCCAAAAATTGTCTATAAAAGGAAATTTTTCCAAAAATTTTCTATGAACAGGAAATTTTTCCAAACATTTTCTATAAAGAGGAAGATTTTTCCGAAAGTTTTCTATAAAGAGGAAGATTTTTCCGAAAATTTTCTATGAAATGAAAAATTTTTCCGAAAATTTTCTATAAAAGGGAAATTTTTCCGATAATTTTCTATCAAAAGGAAAGTTTTCCGAAAATTTTCTATAAAAATGATATTTTTTCCGAAAATTTTCTATAAAAATTAAATTTTTTCCGAATATTTTCTATAAAAAAGAAAATTTTTCAAAAAAATTCTCTATAAAAGGAAATTTTTCCAAAAATTTTCTATAAAAAGGAAGATTTTTCAGAAAATTTTCTATAAAGAGGAAATTTTTCAGATAATTTTCTATAAAGGGAAAATTTTTCCGAAATGGAAATATAAAATGGAAATTTTTCCGAAAATTCTCTATAAAAAAAAGAAATTTTTCTAAAAATGTTCTATATATAATGAAATTTTTCTGAAAATGTTCCATAAATAAGGAAGGTTTTCCGAAAATTTTTTATAAAAAAGGAAATTTTTCCGAAAATTATCTATAAAAAAGGAAAATTTTTCGAAAATTATCTATAAAAAAGGAAATTTTTCCGAAAATTTTCTATAAAAAAGGAAATTTTTCCGAAAATTTTCTATAAAAAAGGAAATTTTTCCGAAAATTTTCTATAAAAAAGGAAATTTTTTCAGAAAATTTTCTATAAAAAGGAAATTTTTCCGAAAATTTTCTATGAAAAAGGAAATTTTTCCGAAAATTTTTTATAAAAAAGGACATTTTTCCGAAAATTTTCTATAAAAAAGGAAAATTTTCTATTCTATATCGAAAATGTTCTATGTAAATAAAATGATAAAATATAAAATTTTTATGAAAATTTTCTATAAAAGAGAGAATTTTTTAGAAAAATATCTTTAAAAGGAAATTTTTCCCAAAATTTTCTATAAAAATTAAATTTTTCCCAAAACTTTTCTATAAAAAGGAAATTTTTCGAAAATTTCTATAAAAAAAGAAAAATTTTCCGAAAATTTTCTATAAAAACAACAGAACAAGTAAGAGTACTATATTCAACTATGCCGAACTTTATATACACACCATCAAACCTAATGGCGTAAATGGAATGCTCCCCTATAAACATTAGGTTGATATTTGAAATTTATTTATTTTATTTTTATTTATATGGATTTTCTGCGCTAGACTCGTATTTTTAAGCTAGTATAGGCGTTAAAATAATGTTTTGGAGAGGAGCTTATATGAGGGGTAGGGTCATAAAATTTGGTAGAAAGAATTTTCTTCATATGAAACTTATTTATGTCGAATTTTAGTTTTCCGGGGGGCACTTGTATGGGGGCTATGCAAAACGTAGACCGATATTGCCCACTGACAATATAAAACAAACCTTACCTATAAGAAATATTTGTGGAAAATTTTAACTCTCTAGCTATTTCCCTTCGGACTCTATCATACTTTTAACAGACAGATAGACAGACAGACAGACAGACAGACAGACAGACAGATAGACAGACAGACGGACAGACAGACGGACAGACATGGCTAGAAATTTCTATAAAGAAAAGTTTACTAAACATTTTTTATTGAAAGAAAACGTTTCTGTAAAAAGAGAAAATTTGTAGAAAAAGTTTTTTTTTCTAAAAAATTTGTAAAAAGAAATTTTTTCCTAAAATGTTCTATAAAAAGTAAAATTACGCAAAAATTTTCTGTAAAATGCGAATTTTCTATATTTTTGGAAATTTTCTATGGAAATAAAATAAATCTTCTATAAAAAGATAACTTTTCGGAAAATTTTCTATAAAAAGAGAAAATTTCAATAAATGTTCTATAAGAAGATGAAAAAGAGAAATTAAGTGTCTATAAAAGGGAAATTTTCTTTAACATCTTAAACATTATTGTTCTTTAAAAGGAAACATTTTTATAGAAATAATTTTCGTTCGAAAATTTCTTTTCATTTTAGTTCTATTCAGTAAACATGAAGTGTCGTCTTCGCAAGAAGAGCAAGCAAGCGAGAGTATAATAAGCTATTAGATCTATAATGATGGACCCACAGCACGTTAGTCTTTCATGTGAAGGAAATTAAATAATTTTGAGAATATGGATGAGAAAAGCTTGATATCACATAACTTATATATTTCGATCATCAAATGATAGTTGTCGAGAAATAACACTGAAATATAAATATAAGACACTCAAAATGTTAAATTTAGAGGCATTCCTACACGCCAAAATTGAGCATTGACGTTTCTCTGTGACATTTGAAAGGTTGAAATTTTACTTAAAGTTTTATTTGCCGTTCAAAATGGTCATGTTTGTTACTTGTTGTAAAATGTGCACTATCGTAATTATATTTTAAGCTACATGTTTCAATTCGTAGCAAAACTAACTGTTCCATATCCTCATAATCAAATATTTAGGTCAATAATTTAAAATTCCTCACAAAAAGTTACAACACATTTCATTTTTTCATTTAATTCTACTTTTTTTTTTTCTCGTTCTCTTGTTTTGTAAATTATTTATGAATAATATAAATGTGTAAGCATTTGTTTTTCAGAGAATATTATGACTAAAATATTAATGAATAAAATTAAAAAAAAAGAACAAAATACAATTAGGCGCGCAAATAAAAAATTAATGCAACCAATTATTTATTAAAATTGTTTTTCAAACAACTAAAATACATTGAATGGAGAATGTTATTTAAGCAAAAGTTACATGAATATTAATAAAACTAATTTAAATGAGTGAGAGGAAGCGTGTGAAAACAAAATTATATAGCCCAGAGGAATGAATTTCTAATGTTAATGTAACGAACCATAAAGATTTTTGGAAAGTTTTGAATAAAATAAGCAAATCACTGCTCAATGTAATGACTCTGTAATGATTTCATTAAATGTACATTCTTTTGTATTACCACAGTTAAGAACAATAATTCGTTACATTAGTTTTCCTTAAAAAGTCTAAACTCCTCAGAATTTCTATTACTAGTTTTGTTTTGAAACAAAATATGCAACTCATAAATAGTTTTCTTGGAAAAATGCTGGGAATGATAATGCCAAATAATAAAAAAAACGAACAAAAAAATAACAAAAAATATATCTTAAATGCAACTGAAATGCAATAAATCAAAAATAAATAAAGCAGCTCAAAAATCAATTTAAATGCTTGAAGTAATGATAAGCTGATTAAATATTGTATGAAATTGTATAAAACTAAATATATTTGCATTGCATTTCTCTCATTAAATTTCGTTTGTAGTTGTTGAAATTATTTACTCTTTATTTAATTATTATTAAAATTAAAAATTTCCGAATTTAATGAAAGAAATTTAGTTTTGTTCTAAATTCAAATAAAATAAACATGCATTTTATAGGAACTTATTTGCCACATGCATTTGGAGGAAAGTGGGACAAATTGTGTGTAGTTGCTACATCTAATAAATGAAATTTTTAAAAACAAGCCAAAATTATTTGTAAATTAAATTTAATTTTTGTACTAAATTTTTTTGTATCTGTTTTTACTGCGAAGCTTTAAATAAATGTATAATTTAGCATTAGATCTTTTAGGATCTGATAGTTTTTTTTTTAGTAGTTTTATTAAAATAAGCATTATGTTTTTGTTGCCTTTATTTGAATTAATTAATTAAGCATTTGTTTTCATTTTTTTGTTATCAATTAATTTAGTTTGGTAAGTAGGTGGTGTTAAAAAAAGCGCTGCAATAATGTGCATAAAGCTGTTTTTTAAGTT